CGCCCACCCTGTCGCGCGTCAATGAACTGTGTAGCAGATGGATTTGGTTTCCACGAATAGAGCTGCTGAAGGACCAGCCGCTGGGGACGGGTTTTACGGAGCGGTGTGCAAGGCTCGTGTGACGAGTAGTCTGCGCCGCCAAGATCGTCCAACCTTCCCTTTACGTCATGGACGGCCCTGACGCAGTCGCCAAGACGTCCCGCTGGAAAAGTTCCATCAAGAGGCCGCCTCCTGTGCGCCGTCAAGCACCCCAATATCGTGCAGTACCTCGGAACTTGGCGAGAGCCGGGCTCTGGGCACAGTCTCGTTCTTCTGATGGAGCTTGCGATCGGAGTCTCACCCGCTACCTGGAGGAGGGCCCCGACACTCCAGTTCCCTACCATATCCAGGTGAATATCATCCACGACGTATCACTGGCCATGATCTACCTCCACAAGAACAACCTCATCCACAGGGACCTGTCCAGTAACAATGTCCTCCTTATGAGAGACCTACGGGCAAAGATCACCGACTTTGGCAATGACCAAGTTTATGCACCATAGGTCACTCACTACCCTGTGCCTGGCACACAGGCCTACATGCCACCAGAAGCCCTAAACCAGACCCCAAGCTACACACACAAGCTTGACTGCTTCTCACTCGGGGTGCTTGCCATTCAGATTGTCACACGCAAGTTTCCCACTCCGACAGAGAGATTTGAGTCTATTCCCAGCTCTCAGTCCCCTGCAGGATTCGTACTACAACCAGTGTCCGAAGAGAAACGCCGGTCGTCCCACATATCAATGATTGAGGAGTCGCACCCTTTTCTACCGCTAATTGGTCAGTGTCTCTCCTACAAAGAGCAGGACAGGCCGTTGGCCCTTGGTATTTGCCGGAGAATGGCCAAGTTGAAAGACTCTGAGCTCTACAAGAAAGGCATTGAACTACCACCCATTTGTAGTACTAGCTCAGTAACACAGCTTAATGGTAAGGATCAGCCCACTAAAACAAACCAAGATTTAACAAACACAAATGATGACCCGCTACAAAATAAACTGTATGAGATGGAAAGGAAGCTAAAAGAAACAGAGAAATTGCTCCAGGAGAGCAGGGATGCCACTGCTAAGGAGCTGAAACAGAAAGAGGTGGAGATGAAAGTCGTGAGAGAAAAGTTTGTCGCGATTCAGAGAGAGTTGGAGAGTCTTGCCCTGCCTCAAGAACCTGGGAAAGGTGAAGTAGCGTCGACAGAAGAAAAGAGCGAACAAACCATTGTTGTGTCTTCCAGTGCATCAAAACAGGATTCCACACTCTCACTCGATTGGCAAACTGTTGGAGTCGCCCCGCAGGAATTCACTCGAGGAGCAGCAGTCGTCCTTGGGGACTTGGTCTACTGCCACAGCAGCGGGAAGAATTTTGTTTCGGAATTTAACATTTCAAGTGGTTCCTGGAGCAACCTTCCACGTTGCAGGTGCTCACACTTTAGTCTGGCTTGTGTTGGTGGTCGCCTCACTGCCATTGGTGGGTATGACTTCACCACGACCAATAAACTCTTCACCTACTCCACGGATGGACCAGGGAAGGGGAGCTGGGTTCAAGAGCTTAAACCAATGCCCACGGCACGGTGTAACACAGTGTCGGTCTCCACCGATACAACACTGGTAGTGGCTGGCGGAGACGAATCGGGCTACAATGACTATCTGAGTGTGGTGGAGGCCATGGATATAGCCAGCGGTAGGTGGAGTGAAGTTGCACGACTACCCCAGCCCTGTCTGAACCTCTCAGCAACACTCTTTGGTGACCAGCTATACGTCACCGGTGGAATCGCACCCAGAGGGAACTCTGGGACATACTCTTGTTCCCTGAGCAATCTTCTCTCTCCGCCAGCCCGTGGGCTACGATTGAGAGCTCTCACGCAGCCAAGGAAGACAGTCTGGCAGGAGATAGGCAGTCCCCCCACGTCTAAGACAACTCTGGTCACGCTCTGTGGTGAAATCCTGGCAATCGGAGGTCTAAACGAGCAGCGAAAGCCTGTGACTGGTGTGTACAGGTATGATGTAGAGACTGGTGGGTGGCACAAGTTGAGTGATCTCATTTTGCCTCGGAGTCGGTGCATTGCCGCCGTGTTTGAAGGGGGGATCATCTGTATTGGGGGTCAGGGGGAGAACACCATTGAAATAGCATCACCTGCCTGACATTGTTGTTCTTGTAAGGTCTAAATTGTATGATTGTGGCTTTGTGGGTCCCCAAAAAAAAATCGACCGTTCGCGCATGCGCATTGCTTTGTTTTTACCCCGCGTGCGTATAATATACGACGAGGAGCAGGGGTTCCGACGCGACGACGTCATCCAAGAGCGCATGCACTGAGGTGACTGGCTATAGCTGCAGCTTGGCAGTAAAGTCTCATTTGGAAATGTACGTGTGCGAGTCCGCATGAGACAGGTTCGTTTGCTATTGCCGGGCAAGACCCCCTCAAAATTTTATGTGTTGTCGTTACACAGTATAGATAGCTAATAGGACAGACAACCAGTGAAAATAGATAGCTGCTCAGAACTGAGATAGCTAGGGATTCTCCAGTATCATAATTATATCTTAGGCCCTTTTTTCAGAATGGTGGTTCTGAGAGTATCTATATATTCAGTTGTTGAATAGGTCGAGTGCGTCCTCCTGACAGTGGACAGAGGAACCGAGAGCAAAGTATATATATAGGCTCTTGCTTTGGAGGTATTTTCCTTTGATTTAGCATGTGAGAACTGCCAGGCCGCCTGACAAATGAAAAGATTTGGCAGCCAACTCAACGAGTGTTCAGAGGTGTTTGGTCGTTCTCAGAATTTCACTTTGCCAAATATGCATTTAGCATTTAGCAATCTCTTCTGTTAGTTCTGAGGCCATCGTAGCTGTACGTCATAAACGAGGTCATACGCGGTAGAGCCAATGGTGAGACGTCTCCGGAATCTGCGCATGCGCCTTGTCTGGTTCGCTTGGCGCAGCGATACTGTAGCTAGCTAGCTACGACTACATGGACAGTGGCCGGGTGATCCGACAACAAGCCGCTAAATAATTGGTTTTGGGCATCCTGTATGAGTATCTGCGGATCCATACACACCTGTCTACCAAGAAACGCCGTACTACCGCCACGCCTCCGGGAATCCCCCACCGGAGTGCGTATATACGTAGCTATAAAATGATACGCAACGCTGCCTGAGTCTATAGCCCCGCTTATAAGCATTGCTGAGGATTTAGTAGATTGTAGATTGTTCAGGCTTGTGAGACCTGCTACCACAGGGCGACACTTCCAGACTTCTCGCGTTTTCCGCAGAGCGGCGACGGAGGGCCCGGCGTCGCAACATGTCGCCGCCGATTTCCCAAGCACCCCAAGTGCTACAATAGTGTCACACGGCGCCAAAACATTTCTTTGGCACCAAATTTTCAGCTCCACAAAAACTTTTTTCCTTCACCCCTGGCTCTGTTTACTTTGGAGGCACAAAAAGTCACCTCGGGGGCCGTGTATCGACTCCTGCATGCTATCTACTAGTGTAGCTAGCCAGTGTCAGGCTCTCCGCGAGCTACTAGCGTGGGCGGGAGACTGGAGTATACGCTAACTGTACCGCGCATGAGCAGTGCGCCGAGGGTTTGGAATCCGTGCATGCGCCTTATCTGGTTCTCTCCCACTTTCTAATTGGGGAGTGTGTGCGACTAAACATGTTTGTCTGAAAATTATTTCGTACCTTCCTTCTAATTAGCGATAAACAATATTCACTGCTGATCCCTACCCACCCGTGCCATACTGGCAATTCACACGTAGCGCCGTGCGGCGGGAACCCCCCACCAGGATGTGTAGTATAAAATGATGTCGCCTGAGTCCATATCCCCGCTATAGGCATTGCTGAGGGTTTGTGCAGATTGATGCAAGTGTAATGAGTTATTTCAGGCTTCTGAGAACTGCTATTACCAGGCGACACCTCGGGACCTCTCAGGTTTTCCGCAGAGCGGGGACGGAGGAGCGCCTGTCGCAACAAGTCACCACCGACCTTTTAGTTTTGGGTGGCGGCAAGCGACTTCGGGTGTCGTGGGACAGCAGTAGGACCAGCCAGAGCGTGTTCCACTCGGTGTGGCTGCGGAGAAACTGTCAATGCACCCAGTGCCTGAGTCTTTACAACCAAAACGTCGTTAGATCCCACGAAATGGACCCTCGAGTGGCCATCATCCATGCGAACCTCACAGGTGACTTTGTTACTTTCATTGGTAGCAGAGAGCATTATAGTATATAGCTGTTATGGGGTGTGCTATAGCCAATCACGTCACTTAGACTATCTAGCTTTAGCTGGTAATTATGATTTTTCCAGCTGGTCCTTCTGTACCAAGAACGGCATATTCATTGTTCTCGCCCATTCTGCACCAAGAACTGCATATTCATTGTTAATAACTGGAATTGTGTTAGTTCAATGAACAAACTCTGAGCTCACTCACTTACCCGCAGCCTTGTTTCTGGTGAAATTACTCCACCTGTGCTGAAAATGTTTTCCGGTTTAAAATGGCAGAGGGGCTTCCCGGCATAATGTAGCTAGAATTTTGAATACTGTAAAGCCTGAAATATTGGTGGCCATTATATTTAGCGTTTTACTCAGACTCCACATATTGGCGGCCAATAATATTAGCGTTTTGTAAGTTGTGGTTAACTTTGATCCCTTATAAAAACAATTCTGGCGGACCATTATTTTGAGCGATTTATTTCTTAAGGCCAAATTCGCTAAATTTAATGGAGCGCGAATATTTGCGGTTTTACAGTATATATTAGGTGATCTTATCAAAATGAAACATTATCACCCTATACTGCTGGGTGGCAGACCCAATAAAACTGCATGGTCAAGTCGCCTCTATTGTCAACAGGAGAGGGAAAGGTGAAGATGAAGTGGTCATGTGGTCATGAAGGTCACCTGAACCTGGACTGGTTGAGGAGAAACTGCTACTCTGCCAGGACTCTGAAAGAGGCCCGCAGAAACTCCACACCAAAGTACTTACAGGTGCATTATGCTGAAAGTACACAAGAGCCAGGATTTTTCTACATAGGAGAAAGGGGAATTCTCCCCCCTCCCTTGAACCCATCTTCTCCACTTACATTGTGAGGGGGGTTGGTAGGACGTTTACTCCAGCAAATCTTCATGTATAGCTATAATAATAAATAGCTGTCTCTTGCTTCACCCCATGTTCTGGGTGCATGATGCACAACATCTGCGGCATTGCCATGGCTGCCTCTTGAGTATCAATTTATGTGTATTCACCATCAGTCTGTAGTTACAAAACATCAGCAGTCCCAAGGGTTTATTGTCAGCATTTTGTTGATGCTGGTTTCAACTCTTTGTAGGATACACTGCCCGAGATAGACTCTGAAGAACTAAAGGAAGAGTATGGAGTTTGGAGGTAGCTGAACACACCTTGATACATGAATACAAATTCAGGTCTCATATCTTGCAATCTTGTATTGGCACACACAGGTGGCTGAAGGCAGTGAGCGAGTATGGAGCCTGTTTGCTTAAAGGCATTCCATGTACAACTGAGGAAGGTTTGGAGGTAACCAAACCTGCGATACTGTCTCATGCACACTTGATTTGGTTCTTTCTCTTAAAACCAAGATCACCAGAAAAGTGTCGCCTCACCTCCAGGAAACCTTCTATGGAGGGGTAAGAATGTATGATGATACTTGGAAATCACTCAGTAGTACTATTGCACTACTAGCTAGCATTGTGGCAGTGAGAGTAACTAGCATGATACACTAGCGTGTTTCAAAAGAAGGATCATCCCGATAAGAATGGATCTTCCAAAAGTAGTTAGTACAAGGCAATCTGTAATACCTCTCTGAACAATACTTTTAAGTATATGATTTTACTCTGAAACAAAGTATATTTTACGCGACTTGTAAGGTAGAATTACTATTCCGCAGTGCAGCACCAATTCACGAGAAGAGACTAATGCCCCTATTCAGGAGTCACAGAGACTTTTATTTGTAGTTGGTCAATTAACATTATCAAGTGCTGGCTCTGAGTTGCTCATACTCTTCCCAGCACAGTGTTGTGAAAGTGGAGGAGAATCCAATGACACTATGCCACGGACCAGGCCACATAGAGCCACACATGGATGTACCAATGTACGAGTCGCAGACTGGACTTACTCTCCTCCACTGTTTGAGGTATGGTTAATACACAAACACACACAACACATGTAAAGGCTATCATTTCATGTTAGCAAGTTCTCAGGTTTCGACGTTAGCGACCTGATATATTGGACGGTATTGAAAATGCATGCCAAGTGTATGAATTATCCAGAGTTGATTAAATGTCTTATGGTGCTTCAGTGTAGCAACATTATAAGGTGTGAGTTTTATCAAGAACACCTCACCCAGCAAGAGCAACAATGAAAAGCAATTGTGTGCATTTCTGCTTAGCAATACCAAGTTGATGGACACATCAGTGGTGGTAGTCTGTATGAATATTGTCCTGCAGGAATGACAGTTGTGTCAGTGGAGGAGACACCATAGTGGTGGATGCTCTAGCTGTGGCTGAGAAACTGAGGCTCACTCATCCTAACCACTTTGCCACTCTTGTCAGAGTCCCCGTCACCTTTCAACGTGTCCACTATGATAGGTGCTTCACATTTCACATCAGTATACAGTGGAACCTCCGAACAATGAACACTATGGGGCCAACAGTTTTGTCCCTTGTATATAGAGAGGCCTGCCCTATCTCAGAGGTCACATGAAGTATTAGCAAGGGGTTGAAGCAAGTGTCCTTAGTAGAGAGGTCGTCCCTATCTCGGTGGATCCCCTTAACCAGAGGTTCCACTTTATACCTATACACATTATACAACTCTACCTTCAGGGAAAAATCCTGTGCATATGACATATCGAACACCACACATCCAGTTGAATGGACATGGACAGGTAGAGTCAGTCTTTCTCCCCTTAAATTCAGTCCGTGACTTCATTGTATATGTAGATTATCAAGCTCAGATGGGCCCCTCAACATGAAGGCCCTCTACACACTTCAGAGGTAGCTATAATAAGCCCTCTTGTTATTAATAATGCCAATGCTAAATTGTACAGGAAGATGTTGACCGGTATTATGAGGCACACCTGTGCTTTGCAAAAGCATTGCATAATGAGAATGAGTCAAAGGTACTGTAGCTATAATAAAGAGCAACTCCTGAGTGTATAGAGCAAGGAGTGTGTGTCATTGACCCTCGGCGCGCATGCGCAGCGAGGGTTACGGTAGTTGGGTTGCTGTCGGTTGTGTGTGTGGTGTGTCTGTCGTTACTCGTCATCTCACTTCTCGAGTGTTCGTTCGTCTCACAAAGGATACCACCTACTGAACGGGCAATGAAGGTCAGAAAATATGTGGGTTTTTCTCTGAACTGCTCCGTTGCAGAGCTAGAGCGCGAAAAAGCTAATATGCAAATAGGCAACGGACGGGACGGCTTACACGGTCTGATCGATCCGCGTGCTCTGCGTACCTCAGAGGCACCAGAAGAGCAACGCAGCGTGTATCGCCTCTCGCATGCTATCTAGTAGTGTAGTTAGCCGCGTCAGACTCTGCGCGAGCTGGGAGAGACCACGAGTAAAAGCTAAACTAAACCCAGCCCAGCAATTAGTGGTACGGCGCATGCTTTACTTACGCGTGCGCGTCACAATGCGCCGAGGGTTTGCACTTCAGTGCTTTTCATTATGTTTTATCTGTTTTCCTGTACAGCTTCACCACAGATTACAGCCAGGAGAAATGCTAGTGTTGAACAATCACAGAATGCTGAATGGACGTATTGCTGTACGTCTGAATGGAGGAGCCAGATTACTCAATGTAATAATTAGCTTGAAGCGAGAACATACAACGAAAACATTAAGGAGTAATGTAAGCACGCAAGCCCAACATAGCTACATGGTTATTTTTCTTTGCTTATGCAATGATGAGAACAAAATCATGACCTTTTACTATGTGTGTTTCAGAATTTCTCAATCAACATTGTTGAGTTCAAGAGCCGTCTCCAGGTGTTGTGCAGTATGACCCAGACTACCAGACTAAGAACACCTTCAACTACGACTTTTCCTTCTCTACTGCCACCTTTGCTGCTGATGGATTGACATCATCACAGACATAGGACAGTCTCTCATTTTTATATACTAATAGGGTTTTTCTACTTTTTACCGATTCCTTTATGGATCAGTTGTTTAATTATTTCGCTGACATCTTGATCATGTTTAATGTTTTTTCATCTCCCTGTGAAGACGGCATCAATGCTCTTGCTAGTCTTCCTTTTCCTGCTATGTTCAAATGATCCGTTTTTAGAGGGTGTGAACCATGCACAGGACTATTCTATGGCATGCAACTAGACAGTTTTTACCATTAGTTATAAAAGCGATTTACAATCACGGTATGACAACTCACCCAATCATACTGACACAGATCCCGGAAAAACTGAGGTACACACCACGTGGGCAAACCTCCTCTCCCTAAAGAGCCTCCATGGGTAAAAGGCCAGATGAGTCGTCTTCGATAACTGGTCGGTTACGCCAGATTCCTATCCACAGCTCCACGGAGCACTAATGGACTACAAATGAAACCCCTCCCCTTTGTCCCTTGTATCCCCATCTCGGAGGTCACATAATGCACTAAAATATTAGCATGGGGTTGAAACATAGAGAGGTCGTCCCTGTCTTGGAGGGTCCCTATCTAAGAGTCCACTGTAGACGCATTGTATATACAGGGTCGCATGCTCACTGAAGGTTAATTAACTTAGACTTGTAGGAATGCTGTCTAACCAAGAAGAATGAAAATAAAGAGGAATAATAATTACTAGTGGAAATGTTGAACATTGTTGGCGAGCGAGAGCGACCCAAACTCGGGATTTGGCCGCGATGTTAGGGCTGCATAACGTGCCGTCAGCGCAAAGCTTTCCTTTCGTGAAGCAAGACAGATGTACCTGTCGCCGTTACATGCGTACTCTATATTGGCAGAACCGTGAGCAAGTGAGCGACGGTATACTTATCTTATGCTTTCAGCTCGTGGTCCACCAGGCAACTGGCATGCAGCAGTATCTGCACGAGCAAGCCTAGCTTATTAGAAAGTTGCACCTTCGAACCATGACGATTGGAAAGAGGTACAGCGTCGGTCAGTCACCTAAGATTGCAACGCATGCCGTCGAATGGAGGAGAGTTCTCTCGCTGGCTATAGAGAGAGCGAGGCAGCGTGTGTGAAGATGCGCGTAAAGAAGCAGCGCATGCGCACTTACACGACGTAAGGTATAGGCTCGCTCCCGCTCGCCAATAGGCTATTCCCGCATAAGCGGAAATATTTCCGCAATGTTACTAGTAGGCGAATGCACGGCATTTTTGGCGAGCGGGAGCGAGCACGCAATGATTATATCCACACGATCCACAGGAAAAACACCCCGTTTACGCGGAGTGTCTGTGCGTACGGTATTAACCGCGGACTGCGTTATCGCGGAGAACCGGGAGTTTTTACGTTCCGCGGGGTTATATAGCGCGAATACAGTTCCAGACCTGTCCACTCGCGGGGTTACAGCGGATACCGTTCCTACGTAGGGTCTATCCACTCTGTGTGGGAGTTACGGCGCCACTCACTGCCGTCTCTGTCACTACCAAAGGTTCGCCAGCTATTACAAAACATACTGGAGAGCTAGGGAGGTGATCAACTACAAGTGTATTCTTCCCAACTATGTAGCTCCCAAAGAGGACTTTGTAGAGAGATAAAATAGCTACTTAGGCTTAAAAACTGATCCTGAGACGCCAGCCGTTGGTACTAGCTCAAAGACTGAATCATTTTTCTTGTTCCACATTTAAAAAATCTCAATTTCTATTCCTTTTGTCTGTCCAGCACTTGCACACCAGGGTACATCTCTCTCTATATGACCTGCAAGTAAATAGAATGGCATACACATAATATTGCTCCCTACAAACTGCATATATACTGCAGGTATAGATACGCCAGTGAAGAATCTACAAAAATCAACAAAACAACAGACAGGACAGACACATCCCTCCCTACAAGACCGCATAAAGCCGGTACGCCGGTGAGGGACACACAAAAATATAAACAAAAGGACAGACACATCCCTCCCTACAAGACCGCATAAAGCAGGTACGCCGGTGAGGGACATACAAAAATATAAACAAAAGGACAGACACATCCCTCCCTACAAGACCGCATAAAGCAGGTACGCCGGTGAGGGACACACAAAAATATAAACAAAAGACAGACATATCCCTCCGTACAAGACCGCAAAAGCAGGTACGCCGGTGAGGGACACAAAAAATATAAACAAAAGACAGACATATCCCTCCCTACAAGACCACATAAAGCAGGTACGCCGGTGAGGGACATACAAAAATATTATAAACAAAAGGACAGACACATCCCTCCCTACAAGACCGCATAAAGCAGGTACGCCGGTGAGGGACACAAAAAATAAAAACAAAAGACAGACATATCCCTCCCTACAAGACCACATAAAGCAGGTACGCCGGTGAGGGACATACAAAAATATAAACAAAAGGACAGACACATCCCTCCCTACAAGACCGCATAAAGCAGGTACGCCGGTGAGGGACACAAAAAATATAAACAAAAGACAGACATATCCCTCCCTACAAGACCACATAAAGCAGGTACGCCGGTGAGGGACATACAAAAATATAAACAAAGGACAGACACATCCCTCCCTACAAGACCGCATAAAGCAGGTACGCCGGTGAGGGACACACAAAAATATAAACAAAAGACAGACACATCCCTCCCTACAAGACCGCATAAAGCAGGTACGCCGGTGAGGGACACACAAAAATATAAACAAAAGACAGACACATCCCTCCCTACAAGACCGCATAAAGCAGGTACGCCGGTGAGGGACACACAAAAATATAAACAAAAGACAGACACATCCCTCCCTACAAGACCGCATAAAGCAGGTACGCCGGTGAGGGACATACAAAAATATAAACAAAAGACAGACACATCCCTCCCTACAAGACCGCATAAAGCAGGTACGCCGGTGAGGGACACAAAAAAATATAAACAAAGACAGACATATCCCTCCCTACAAGACCACATAAAGCAGGTACGCCGTGAGGACACACAAAAATATAAACAAAAGGACAGACACATCCCTCCCTACAAGACCGCATAAAGCAGTACGCCGGTGAGGGACACACAAAAATATAAACAAAAGACAGACATATCCCTCCCTACAAGACCGCATAAAGCAGGTACGCCGGTGAGGGACACACAAAAATATAAACAAAAGGACAGACACATCCCTCCCTACAAGACCGCATAAAGCAGGTACGCCGGTGAGGGACATACAAAAATATAAACAAAAGACAGACATATGAACAAAAGGACAGACATATCCCTCCCTACAAGACCGCATAAAGCAGGTACGCCGGTGAGGGACATACAAAAATATAAACAAAAGGACAGACATATCCCTCCCTACAAGACCGCATAAAGCAGGTACGCGTGAGGGACATACAAAAATATAAGCAAAAGACAGACACATCCTCCCTACAGACCGCATAAAGCAGGTACGCCGGTGAGGGACATACAAAAATATAAACAAAAGACAGACATATGACCAAAAGGACAGACATATCCCTCCCTACAAGACCGCATAAAGCAGGTACGCCGGTGAGGGACATACAAAAATATAAAGCAGGTACGCCGGTGAGGGACACACAAAAATATAAACAAAAGGATAGACATATCCCTCCCTACAAGACCGCATAAAGCAGGTACGCCGGTGAGGGACATACAAAAATATAAACAAAAGGACAGATATAACCCTTCCTACAAGACCGCATAAAGCAGGTATGCCGGTGAAACAGATGCATTATTCTTACTCAAAACAGAGGCACACAAGCCCAACCCATACGCAAATAACAAGATTGTTACAACCATGCGAGATTGGTTGTGACAAGATTGTAACAAGCAATTGTAACAACCTTGTAACAACCTTGAAATTGGATTGAAACAACTTTGGATTTGGAACTGTCAGTAGGTAGTAACAAGGTTGTGACAAGATTGTCACATTGGTTGTACCATGCCTGTACAGGTCACATGCTTGCAACAACCTTGTTGTATTAACAATGTCAGTTTTAGCGCACATGGTCCGCTACGGCAAAGAATTTACATAGATCAGTGATAAATGTACAAAGAAAGTGATAATGAAGGTCAGTGATGAATGTACAAAGATAAAGTGATAATGAAAGGTTCCACTGATATATTATTAAGTGACAAAAAGGTTCTAGTTGATCAGTCATTGCTTTCTTCTGTAATTCGCACATTTATCATTTATGCAGTCCACCAGAGTACTTTTTGAAACATGCTCGAACTGGCTTCTCACAAAATCTGCAGAAGAATACAAAGCCAAATGATGCAAGTTTTTTTTTATACACTGATAAAGTATGTTCCCGCTCCTTGCTCCTTTAGAAAAGTGTGCTGATGCATAGTTATGTATACACTTACGTATGCATGCTTGCACAATATCTCCATCTAGCGCCTTGTGTTTCCTTGTTCCACAGGCACTTGACGTTGCCAAAGTTTCAGGAGTGAAGAAAACGTTCATCAAATTCCTGATCAGTCTCGTGGGACTGTTCTTTGCTCCATCCACTGCCATGTCTAACTGTTTCTGTGTTAGAAAAACCCCATATCCTGGCACAAGTTCAATAGCTTTAGGTTGAACCTGTGGAGATTGTGATTTATACACAAACGACCTGGACTATTTGCATTACCTTATAAACTTGACTAGACGCAGGACTAGTACCCATCCTAGCTGGTCCGGCTGATGAAGGTCTAATACCCTTCATGCCCAGTCCTGTTGGTGAATGACTTGTTCCCGCTTCACTTAAACGCTTATAAGGCTGGGGGGTTGGGCTAGAGGATGGTGTTATATCCATAGACACTTTAGCAGGTTCAACATCAGAGCCCTTTAGAAACAAATGATGGCACGACTTACAAATGCGCTAGAACAGACACAAACAAAGACAATGCAGTAACTCTGGCTGTACTTGTACGTATATGCACATCGAAAAGTACTCACTGGAATAGTAATCTTCTGTAAAGCCTCAAAACTAGAATTTCGAATGGTGTTATTAGTTACATTCACTGCAGGAGGTGAAACTACATAGAGAGAACAAAAACATAGGTCGCACCATTGTCAATCATAATAACTGATAACACACCTGACTTATTCCGTTTAGCAAGTTTCTCTTTCAACATTTTAATTTCAGCCTCCAGCACTCTCTTATGATCGTCTTCCTCAATGTATGAGTCATAGTCATCTACACAACAATGTCAGAGAAAAGATAATGATCACCCCCCTGTGGCAACCTCAGTAAGACGAAACGTTACTTTGTATTGTACTCAGTCAACTGCCAGTCAGTACGTATGCCATTGCAACTAGCACACATAGGCTAATGAAGACACACGGAAAACACATTTAACACTCTCCAAGTTTTTTCTACAAGCACTAGCTCGTATGTGGGTATTATACACATGTAGAACACACCATTTTCTCTTTGGAATGTCTTCAACTTTTTTTTCCTCCTGTATCCACCAGAATCTGGGTCCACTAAAACACACAAATCTCATATGTATAGCTACATATCATGCATTATTTTATAGTTAATCAATATGCCCAACACCACACGGTAGCAAAGATTCTCAGGCAGTACTGAACAATACACATTTTCGCAGCCTAAACACACATGTTTATTGTGGCACCTATATGGGTCTGAAATATACTGTACGTGATCATGTGTATTTGGCAAAGCAGATCGAGCTCTATTCATATGCATGGCACAATTGCCCAACAGTGCATGCGTTCAGCTCTGCTCGCTACTATTAAACACACCATATTCTTTCTTCGGCATTTTCTCCCCTTTGTGTACATCATCATCAGAATCGGAGTCCACTGAAAGGATAGCCTACCTCATTTACAGATGTGCATGTTTAAGCAAACATACGTGAGGAAAGTAGTGCCTTGGCCCTTCCTCTCGCAGCAGTCATGCGGGCCATTTTATCACACTTTGCTGTCCGTGGCTTTTTGGCAGGAGATGGTTCTACATCCGTTGTGCTGTCGACAGTCTCAATAGTCTCCACTTCATTCAGTATCTCTTCACTAGTAATATCCATTTTAACTAGGCGGTCACAGTCCCTCAATAGAGCCTGGCGGTCATCTGTGCATGGTAGTCATTATGTTAACAGTGCGCGTTAAATCGGCTATACACAAAAACATGTGTAGTAGAAGATAGCCAGGGAAAACGAAACACAAACTCACCCGAAACCTTTAACACTTGCGCCTCATAAACTTTCTTTAGCCACTTGAAATCTCCGTAAACTCCTGGGTAAACCTTTTGCCCAGTCTTCGCAGCTGTAACGGGGAGTACGCTGACAGTCTCATCTTCGATCCATCGCAGGAGGCAAAACGTTTTCTTCTCTGTCGACTTCTTCTCTTTTCCACGCTTAGGAGGCATGACGAAAAAATCTTGGATCAGGAGCTACGGGGGGAGACGAGACACGTCCACAGACAACATCCAGTAAGCCCGCGCATTCAAATAAAGCACGTGCCAGGCGCGTGACGATCCACGCGCATGCGCGGATCGAGAAAACTGCAACATGGCAAGAAGATTTTACAACGAACATCTTCTCTACCCTGATCCCTTTTCAGCTGCGAGCAAATCAACGAAGCATCGGGAAATAAAAAGAAGAAAACTGTCGGCTCAAAATACAGAGGAGCCTAGCCCTACTGATGGTCTTACTCCTGGTCACGCCGAAACCGGTCAATCTCGCTGGTTGTCCACTGGATATCGATCCTGGTCACACCAAAAGCGTCGCTACTGATCCTGAAGAAAACGATGTCGATGTTGTAAGTGATAATGACGCAACTGAGGAGGA